GTGTGACAGAGGACAACTGAGGGCCCGTGGTGTCAATGGTATCACTCCATCTGTGGTTTTGGCCTATCTTATAAACAAATATCAGCCTTGCACTTTCATGCAAAAAAACCCCCTCCTCTAATTCAAGCCTCTTCCCATATTTTAATTCACCATGCAAGCAAGAAATGGTTTAGTCTATGTTAGGGATTCGGACCATGCAAAGATTAAGGGTGGTTTCCAGTCTGCTTGTTTTTCGAACAATTCAATTCCTGAACTGAAATGCATTGTTTCACAAATGTTAAGAAATAAACGTAACAAAATGCTATGAGGCTACCCAAAATCTCTACGTGGAGTAGTAGACCCACAGCCTCCATGGCTGCCAGGCTCTCCATCCCTGAGTTCTGGGGGGTGCTGGGAGGGTCCAAGCCCCCTCCCCATCCCCATCCCCGCTGGGAGCCCGGGCAGCGATGCTCCCAGGGTTGCTGTACCAAGAAGGGCGGTTGACTCAGAACCGGAGTGCTCACTCAGTACGGGGAACGTTACCCGACTTACTGGTGAGTAATCCCAAAAGTTTAACGTGAGGTAGGGAAGCAGAGCACTGCAGTTACAGTGGGGGGGTGAGAATTGGAGCTGGGTTGTATTTTGGGTTTCCCCCACGCCACCTCGTACCTCCCAGGCTTGGGGTTTCTGCGGGGGAAGCAATCCCCGGGTTCAGGTGTGTAAAACACTTGGGTGGGTGGCAGAGGAGGGTCGAGCCCCACGGCTGCTGCAGGAAGCCCTGCTCCAGCACCAAAACACAGGGTAGAAGACATGAGAAATATCAACAGGCCTTCTTCCTCTTCCTCGTGGTGCAGCATCACTTCTCGATCCTGCAGCGCTGGTCTGGGCAACGCTGAGCCACTGCTATGGCTCCTCTGGATGCAGCACATCCCAGCTCCCACCCACGGCTCAGACCAAGGCGGGAGGAGGAGGAGGAAGAGGGGAAGCAGCTCCACCATGGCACCAATGAGACATGCAAGGCTGCAGGACACCCCACTGCGGTACTGGTGACATCCAGCAGCCAAGGGCACTGGCTACAACAGCCAACAGCAAACATGGGGAATGGGGCTGAGCCTGCAAACATACGTGCTCGTGCTTCACTTGCAGCACAAAGCCAGCTGCAGTGACAAGCGTCCGTCGCAGGACTGGGGCAGAGTCACTTCTCTCCACATCCCCATTAACCTCAGCTCCTGTGCCCTCGCTTTGGGATAAGGAGCCCGGACACAAGCATTGGGGATTGCCGCAGAACCACGCTCCGCTGCAGGCACGCGGGACGGTTACCTCTTTGTAACTCAGCGCTGCCGACGGTCTGAGTGGAGGAGCAGGACGGAGGCAGCTCAGGCTCCAGGGTTTGAGGATTTTAGGGGGTTCCAGAGGCCCACGGATCTGTCCGGCTGAACTAAACGTCTGAGAAAACAGATGAGAAGCAAATGAAGACTGTTAGCCACCAAACAACCTAGAGAAGCGGAGGGAGATGGACAAGGGTTCGCTGTGAACTCCTTTGAGAGTTATCTATGAGGACACATGTAAAATGGCGCAAGCACGACATGGTTACAAGCCAAACTGCAGGATGTGTCTTACAGCTGTACACATTGCCTCAGTATCAAGGTGCACTGCCGAAACAGAGAGATCAGGCAGTGCTGGGGGACCCTCGGCAGCAGAGAGGCCGGGGAGATGGGATGCTTACCGAATGGGCACTCCAGGACTGTGTTTTGGATATGGTGTTGCACGTCCCCTTGGTCAGCCTTTGCAAGTGCTCGAGCCATTCGTGCAAGTCCTGGCTGGTGCTGCAGGACACGGTGATCCGCTCCATCACGTTCCCTGTGGCAGAGGGTTAAATAACTGTCTTTAGCAAGCGGTAGAGACCCAGGAGGAAACACAGGGTGATCTCAACTCGGCACAGCAGCAAGTGGCTCCTTAGTTTGCAAAGACGACTTGCATGTTCCTCCCAATTGTCCCCTTCAATTTTTCTCATTACGGAACGTGAGGAAAGCTTCTGGATGACCAGAGCCATTAATCTGTCAATAAACAAGGCGCTCACGGCTGCACGGGATGGACCCCGGATGCAGATGGGGCACGCATGGCACAGAGCAGTGCTACTGGGGCAGGAGATTTGTCCCATATGAAAAACTGTGGTCTCCAAAAGCAGCCTGGTGCCAGAGACAGAGCTCAAGGGCACTAGGAGGAGGTTGCCTCAACCACGGGGGAGATGCTCAGGAACTCAGACAACACATGGTAAAAGAGCAAAAAGAAGAGCATGGTGCAGTGGGTAGGGGGAGGAGGACCAGTATCTCCAGTGGCAACTGCTGTTTGGACTGGGAGGACAACCCCAGGCAAGGGCCACACTGACCTGCAATTTCAAACATGTGCTCATTCCCTTCAGCATCTTCCAGCTTTGTCAGCGTAATTCCTGTCAAAGGCAGCCTTCCCTAGGAGAATTGAGAAGGCGTTAGTGTCTGCATCTGCTCCTGTCCTGGAGCTGGGACAGAGTTAACTTCCTTCACAGTAGCTAGTGAGAGGCTGTGTTTTGGATCTGTGCTGAAAAGAAGGCTGATCACATTCTGATATTTACAGCTGCTGCCAGAACACTCAAGGATTTTTCAGCTTCTCTTCTGTGCCAGTGTCTGCAGGTGCAGGAGAAGCTAGGAGGGAGCACAGCCCCAATTACTAGCCTTAGGATTCAACCTTAGGTTTAGGACTGAGACCCAAATTGGCCAATGGTATGTTCCATATCATGCACGTCATGCCCAGTATATAGATGAGGATCTGTCCAGAAGTTCTCGCTCTCCCTCTCTCAGTCAGCTCTTGGGCTCTTCTCTTTTCCAGGATTTTGGTTTCGGGGCTCTCCCTGCTCCAGGATGATTAGCTGGGAACAGGCTGAGCCTTGGTCATCGAGTGGTAAGCAGTTTCACTGTGTATCACTGATTTGTCTATTTGTATAAATTACTATTATTATTATTATTATTTTCAGTTTTATTGTAGTTTAGTTACTAAACTGTTTTTATCTCAACCCACAAGCCTCTTTAACCCTTTAATTCTCTCTCCCATTCCCCGGGGAGGGATGGGAGGGTGAGTGAGCGGCTGTGTGATGTTTCATTGCCACCTGGGTCAAACCACAACAGCTTCCCAGTGGGTGTTGTTCCGCTTGTTTCTGCCAATTCCTTTCTCTTTGAGAATCGCCATTAAAAACTAATTTGTGAAGGCTTCAGACCGCAGGAAGAGTCTCCTTTAACGTTTGGATCTAGATTTCCCTGCACAACTAGGTCAAACCGCTGAGAAGAAGCTCCCATGACAAATGAGTCATCTCCAGCTCATCTGCCACCCTTTCCCTTCACTAGGTGCAACCCCTTTTTACAACCAAACCAGAAGGATTAATTTGCCTTGATTTTTCTGAAAGCCTTCCCTGTCCCTCTGTTTTGCATGCTGAACTGCCTGCTCACCTTACTCCTACTGGTGGGTAAAATCAAAAAACCCAGCCAAATCCTTCCCAAAACTCCTTCATCACCTTTGCATAGGACATACTACATGTCAACACAAGAGCATCCTTCTTCTGGAGGGTATTGATGATTTCAGGCAACTAGAGAAAAGCCAAGCTCCCAACAGCCTGATTGCAGCCATTCAAATGGTAAAACACAAGAAAGGTAGCCTTTTGGGATGCCTTGTGGAGTGGAAATTTTGGGCTCTTTACAGTGGGCTTTATAGTAATGAAGTATTTTCCAGAGATGGCCCAACCCTGAGAGACGGCTGGCTGGTCATGTGGGGCAAAACCCGACAGCTGGGTCAGAACACCTTATGCACACACACACAAATCTTGAGAATAGCATGTAGGACAACATGCTGCAAGGGTTTGGTTTTCTAAAAAAATAATTGCACAGCATTCACACTTACCAAATGCTGTTTAACCAGCTGGCAGGACAAAGGCACTAAGTGTCCTGGCAGGCATGGTAAAACCAAGCCCTGGGTCCCAGCCTGGGGCATTTGCATCACAACAGAGAGGTTTAAGGAAACAGAGGATTTGAATTTGATAAGAGCTATCTGATTTCCTTTTTCACACCTCATGCATTGCAGCTTCAAATTAAGCATGCCTACCTGATAGATGAACCCACTCATCCGTGGGCTTGCAGACAGCATCAGCAAAACGTTTGAAAACAACAAGAAATATCGCTCTTCTTTCTCCTGTGGGGATAAGAATTTAGGTTAGTCCAGTTTGCAATGCATCACAAGCACTGTCCTCCGGCAGACTGAACCTGCTGCAGCTGGAATCACAGCCTGCAAGAGACCACCCCCAAACAAATTATTTTGGCATTTTATTTTTTTTTACAGCATCTCACTTCTGTACTAGTTTTTCCTGCATACATTTTTGTCTGCATCCTGCTAATCCTCTTCCAATCATTTCAGAGTGCCTCAGAAGACCAAGACCTTATGTTCCCCAGCATTTCACATCCCAGGCAAGACTCTGGGACTAGACTGCACAGGTCTTCCCTTCCCAGTGAAAAGCTGCTACAGCAAGCAAGCAACTCAGTGATAACGGCACTTTCCCACACCAAACATGCAGTGTGCACGGCTTTACCACCACCGGGGAAGGTTTGAGGCAAGCACTCGTGTGACGGTTTAGGACCAGTAACACAGGAATCCCTCCAGTTACTCCCAAAGCACAGTCAGCTCTGGAGTGGGACGTCACAGCAGCCGCCGCGCTGTGCACAGGACGTGGCAGAATGGTTACGCTAACGCACACTTTCAAGTCACTCTCATTTCTCAGAGTAAGTCACAGGGGAAAAGGAGGGAAAATTAACGTGCCAGATGACACTGAGATGATGCTTTTGTATGAAAACTGTGTCACCAAAGGCCTGAAGCTAAGCTGCGGGGGCATGATGCAGTACCTGACTCCAAAGACACGCACATTGTACAGCTCTGGTCTAGGTAAAATTTTTTATCAGCATTATTTGTCAGCACTTGGCTGGCCTGGGGTGAGAGTAGCTGCCGCCTCGCATCGCTGATCCCGTGAGCAAGGGGGTATTTGGACACAACGCCTTTAGCCAGGAGAAGCACCCCCGCACTCACCTCGCTTCCCCCACACTGCACCATAACCTGGGACATGTAGATGATGTTTCCCATCGTTTTGATGTCCTCTCCTTCCCAGCGCTGGATGGATTCAGAAAGGATCTGCAGTTCGAGCTGTTTCCTCTTCCTCAGCTCTTGGCACTGCGACTGGGAATCACAGCAAGGCGCTCCGTTAGCCAAGGGGCAGGCATGATCCCAAACCATCCCAACAAAGATGGTTACACCAGTCATGCTCCCACAGCCACGTGGGCTCAGGGCTGGTCACGTCAAGGGATCGGGAAAGCTTGCTTTGGCTTCATTACACAAAATTTGCTAAAAAAGTCACACCCTAATGATTTATGAAGTAATGAATACGTTAAAATGTCAAAGAAATTGCAAACTGCACTGAGCAAACTTTTCTTTCCAAACCAGCCCTACCTCTGAGAGTACAAGGTCATATTTTCCAAACCGGGACAGCCGCAGAGTTAAATGTCTCAAATTTTGCTGCTGCTTAGAGAGATTTTGCCCATTTTGCTCGAAGAGCAAAGAGAGCTATACTTGCAGCAATGCAAAGCCCCCATGAATCAGATGGGCGGATATTTTCTAACCAAAATTTGCAAATGCAAAACCAGGACTTGGTGCAATATTTCATCAGTGCAGTAGAATAGCACAAAAAGAAGCTTTTGAAGGTCCCAGAATTGGAAAGACTGCACCAATGCTCAGCAGCTAGGGACTGGTAGAGATCCATGGAGCAGCCAGTCCTTCAGGAGCTTTCAGCATGCAGAGGACAACGCTGACTGAGCAATGACAACCCTGCAAATTCAAGCAAAATGTGCTTTCACTGACCCCTCTGCCAACAGGGAAAATTGCTGCAAAGCCAAACCCTGGCTCAGTTTTCACCAGCTGCTTCTTTTTTTCCAAAACCCTGTTTCTGACAGAGATTTTCCTCTTTTCCAGCTCAGTTTCATACAAACTCTTTGACTATCCAGATCGTCAAAGAAAGAGTCTGAATTGTATGAAAACACACAATTTTGAGCCAGACTGTGGGGGCTTCCTTCAGTTTTACAGCTGTTGTGTGCTTTGATGGCTCCCTGCATGTCCAAATTCAACATTCCCAGGATGCAAATCCATATAAAATCCACAGCAACCCACGGCAGTCAGTGCAGATGCGATGTGGCTCCATGGTCCCTGCCCTGCCATTGCTTGGGAGCATCCCTGGTCCCACCATAGGAACATGCAATGGTCACAAGGGGCACCTCAAGTCCGCGCTGAGCCTTTGCAGTCACACTGTAATTACATCCAATTGCTCAGCGCCCAGGCACACATTTCAAGTGAAACCATCCATCACTTACGAGCATTCCTAAAGATTAATGACACCTTGTAATTTAACCGAATTATTCCCCTATTATCTACAAGAATAAATGGAAAGGGAGCTGAGTTTCTAGGTAAATGTAACATTATCGCCCTTTCCTGTTTTCTATGAACTTTCTCCTCCCCATCTTTTATCTGCACTGCTAAGCAGCGAAAACTTGCATCTGCTGTGCTAAGGAAGGAAGTTGGACCACATCTGGAGTGGTTATAGTGAAAGGCATTCAGTGGCTACAAAGCGAGAGAGACTCTAGCTTTTTTAATAACCGAAAAAAGCTTTGCCGGGTAAAACCTTTGCGCACGTGGATGGCTTTTCCCCCTCTTTTTCCTCTCAGTGCAGCAGGACTTCGAGGGATGTAGGTAACACAGTGCACAGAAATATGTTTATTCCCTCTGTCTCATCCCTTTGCTGTCATTTGGTCTTTTCCACGCCGATGGCCACGGCACCTGGAGCCACAAATTACCTGCAACATGGTCACAGCCTCCTGATGCGCCGGGAGCAAACCTCAACAAAACCACGAGTCGCTCCACGGGCTCACAGGGGACCTTCTTGCTGGCATAAGCAGTTGAGTCAGACACCCGCGTTCACCTTTCACAGTTCATCTGAACGAGCAAGGGATGCTCTGCTTTCAGGTCGCAAATGATTAGGGTATGGAGGAAAAAGGAGATGAAAGGGACCCTGCAGTCAGCACGACCCACACGTGGCTTTCTGCAGCAGAGGAGAAAGTCGGAGATCCTCCGTCTCCGCTGCTGGGACCACGAAGCCAGCGTGCAATTGAACATGCAGCCAGAGGAGCAGCTCTAGGCTTGAAACTTTAAATTAAGATTCTTTATAACCCATCTTTTCCATTCCAAAAGACCTTTTTTTCTAATGAGGAGACAAATGTCAGGCTTGACTCATTCTTGGTGAAATGCAGCCCTGAAATGGAGCATGCTATTTTAAGTATTGCCACCTACCACAAGGGACTTGAAGGATGTGATGGCTTTCAAAATGTCTTCATGATCTGCATGCGCCTCCTAGTGAAGGGAGAGAAAAATCCCTCAGCCAGCAGCACCAGCAACTGCCCCGCACAGCACCCACTGCCCCAGCACACCCTGGACTGCAGGAGCTCGCAGGGTGCTGGGGGATGCAGGGCTCAGGGTGCAGGCAGGACGGGGCCAAAAACCCCCAGGTACCTTCCTCACCACCTAGTTCAATATGACAGAGTTTAAAGCAGCTACACAATTCATTGATACCAATTTAATCATAGAATCATAGTGGTTTGGTGGAAGGGACCTTAAAGATCATCTCATGTCCTGCCATGGGCAGGGACACCTCCCACTAGCCCAGGTTGCTCAAAGCCTCATCCAGCCTGGCCTTGAACCCCTCCAGGGATGGGGCATCCACAGCTTCTCTGGGCAACCTGGGCCAGTGTCGCACCACCCTCACAGGAAAAAACTTATTCCTAATATCTAAGCTAAATGTACTCTCTTTCAGCTTAATGAGTGTTAAGTGGCCAGAACAAGAGCAGATATGATTTAACTTAGAACAAACTTGGCTTACAAAGAAAACCAGTCAACACAGGCAGAGGCGCAGGGTGGATTTCTGGTTTCACCTTCAGGAAGGAAACTTCCATTGGGATGTAAGGTATTCCAGCCATTGCCCCATCAAGGATGCAGTTTCCATGAGCATCAATGGGAACTTCACCTCCAGTTTTAAGGGAGAGCACATCTGAGCAGAAAGCTCTTAGGCCAGGGAGCAGGATGCTGCCCCACCTCTCTGACTGCAGCTGCGTGCTAGTACTCTCCCAACATCTTCTCCTGGGCATCTAAGGCCCTACATCATGAGCTCTTCACCATCCCAACCTTATGCCAAGCAAATGCTAAGGTGTCTAGGTTGTGATGGAGCTACCCCTGCGGCTGCTAGAGGCTGCCTGGGATCACTCACCTCTGAGTCTGGGATAAGGGCTGCCCTGGACAGACCTGTACCATCTCCAGCAGTGCAGGGTATACATCCACACTGCATACATCGATAGGGCATACATCCACACTCTTCCCACGGCATCGCAGCTTAAACCTCAACCCTACCAATTCATGCAACAAAACCCCCTCACTTGGCTTAGGAACTAAGAGAAACAGGCAATGCATGTGTCCCTAAATCCACTGCCAACCCCCCTACAGCATCTGGCAAAGAGCACGCTGTCCCTGTACGGGCACGGGGGCTGCAGCCAAGCTCAGCTCGGTCCCTGTAGCTCAGCTAAGCCAGGTGAGAGCAGGACAGGTCAGATTTGTACTGTGCCTACAGCGCAGGCTTTATGCCCTCTCCTCCTATGCAGAAGAACCCCTGGATCAAGCACAGAGACTTTAATCTGCTGGCTGGGATGTTGATTTGAATGATCATGGCTAAGCGTGCATAGTAATTAACTGGTAATTAATACTGGAAGAGGGAAGAAGCAAACCCAGTTAAAAACAGACCGTTACTTCTGGTTTCTTCACCTCCTTGCACTACCCCTGAGGTTTGCATCCCTGCAGCTGGAGTGCACCAGCGGGCAGATAGCAGAGCATTGGCAGAGGGATGGAGATGTCTAGTCCCTGGAGAGGACAAATGTCCTAAAGCTGCTCTGCCACCTGCCAAGGAAGTCTCTGTCCTCCTTCACTGCTCTCCCTGCTCCCAGGCACTCACTCCTCGCCCCCATGTCTGCACTGGCTGCCAGACCGATGTCTGCAGCTCTGCATCCACCCAGGAGCACCAGCCTCAGGCGAGGGGTGGGGATGTGCCTGCGAGCTGCAGGAGCAAGCAGCAAGGGATGGGAATCTCATAAAATTATAATAAAAACACTGATGTATTACCTGCTGTGCAAAAAAATACCAGCTGTAGCCTGACCCTGAACTCTGCTTTTCCTTGTGCTGGAAATGGCCCATCTTTGAGGAGGGGCTGGGGGGAGGAGCAGGCAATGCCTTCCCACAGCTCCCCCAGAATCCTTTACCACGTTCCTATTTTTAATCTGAAAGGCAGATAAATTCCCACGGAGGTGGAACACCTCCTTGGAGGGGTGGTGAGTACTTCCAGCAATGTGATGCTCAAATCCCAACAGGCAGAGGTGCCTCTGGCAGCCTGGGGGCTGCTCTCGTAGCATCAAGGGGCACAGCCTGCCCAGCAGCTCCACATCCCACCTACCTCCATGTGTCGCTCCAGCTCCTGCAGCAGTGTCACATATTTATCCAGCCTCAGGAAGGGTTTGCTGAGGCTCGTGGTTAGGATGAGAATGCCTGGGTTGGCCGCACCCTGGCTCTCCATGAACTTCTCCAGCTCATCACTATAAATAGAGACAACAACAACAAGAAGGAAGGCTCGCCACCGCTGAGGGCCGTGTTTTGCTGCCTCCCACGCTCTCCTCGTGGCCGGGGCTCTGCTTCAAGCTGTGCCTTTTTAAAGGCAGCTCAGCCTCCCCTGCGAGCACCCCCCACCGCAGACCTGTCAGGGCAGGCAGGGAGCCGAGAGCTGGATGCAGGGAGGATGCTGCGTGGCAGCGGGGACTGGTGTGCACAGCCTCAGGGTACAGCGGTGCCAGCGGCTGGTCCCCTGGCACAGCGAGGTCCCACAGGGCCGGGCGTTTGGTGGACAGAGGGGCTGCA